TAGGTTCATTCATTTACCACAAATGACAGGATTTCATCTTTTTTAAGACCAAATAGTATTCCTCTGTGTGTGTGTGTGTGTGTGTGTTTATACCCATGTATAAACACCTAATTTTTTTTTAACCATTCTTCCATTGATGGGCCCTTAAATTGATTCCCCCTGCCTTGGCTGCATGCATGTGGGCGTGCAGATCTATTCTACATACTGATTCATTTCTTTTGGATATATACCCAGTAGGATGACTGGATCCATTTAAAACATTGATAATATTGACAGACCTTTACTGATCCAGACTTGACTGTTCTCAGCACCTACACATCCTTGTCTTTAGTCTAAAGTTAGTGCCAGGGAGGAGAAGACAGCAAAACACAGAATCCTCCCCTGCTGCTTTGTGCCACCCTCCGACAGCTCCTCAGTTGCCTGCTTGAGGCTCCCTGCAGCCCTGACTCCTAAGTTTCTGCGTGAGAAGCTGGACTTGCACAGAGTGGCGGAGCTGGGTGGACCTTGGCGGTCACCTTAGAGTAGGGAACAGGATCCAAGAGAGAGTTCCAGAAAAGGTTTGAATCGTGTTTCTGTCTCATGAGCCAGGCTGCGCCTCTCAGAAGTGGGGGCTGATGGGAGGCCAGAGGAGGTGGAAGAGGTGAGGGCATGGCCCAGCAGTGCACCAGGGCTCACTGAGAAGCCCCCAAGGGAGGTACACGTGGCTCTGGGTCCTGTGTTCTCCTCACTAGCAGAAATCCCTGAACACACAGGGAGGTCAAAACTCTCCTTGCAGGTCCTGAATGCTCCCCACTGTACTAAACAAACAGCGGCATTCCAATGCCCATGGGAAGTGCCATGAGAGGGAAACTCATCTGCCGAAGATGAATCTCAGAGTGCTTGAGGCTGTCTGTGGAGGGGGGCATGGCTGACTGCACAGCCAAGCACCTGGAAGGCCCCTCTCACTGTCCACCCTCCCCTGGCCTCTGGGCCTCTGGGCCTCTGGGCCTCCAGACATGAGTTTGTCGAGAGCAGATACTGGATTCCCCTCATGTGCTTACCTCCTTCCAGCTCAGTGCCTGGAACCTCTTGTTTGTTGAATGGCTAAAGGAATCCCTGAATGAACTAGTAATAGTCGAAGCCCTCTGAAGCTCAGACACTCCTAAGACTCTTACACCAAAATCGCTATAAAAAATTCAAGCTCTAGCCAGCAACCAACTCATTTTAGCCAATATCCCAATGCAATGAAATTCTAGCACACAAAAAAAATTTAAGAATCTCTCATCAATCTTATTATAATGGAATTTGACCTCCCAAACTTAGTAATGGGAAATCTTACTAATTTTTCCCAAGAGTAGAAGCAGCGATGCACATAAAAGAGAATATTTATTTGCCTGTAAAACTCCAGGTATTCTCCTCCAGGGAGTTTCTCATCTTGGAGCTTTGGGCCCCTTGGAGTCTGGCAGGTAGACTACAGCAGCTGCATGTTTCCCAGCCCTGAGGTGCAGGGCCTGCACTGCACTACCCCAGTCTCTAGGGCTATAGCCTTGTTTTCTTACCCTCTCAGCCCTCTTATTTTCCCAGTCAACATCCAGGTTTCCCAGTGCACCTTTCAATGACCCTAAAGGCAGGAAAGACCTTTATTAAAGCATCCCTGCTCCCTGTGTGTCCCACTCCAAGCACATCCCAGTCGTCTTCATCTCACCAATGTCTTCGCTGTTAGTTGAAAGGCTGAGCCAAAAAGAACATGGAGTTCATCCATCTCTTTCATGAGTGATTCCAAAAAGTTAGCCTTTCCAGCAGTTTGCAAACCTTGTTAGTACTTAGAACAACTTGGTGTGTTAGTCAGATTTTCATTACTGTAAGAAATGTCTGAGGTAAATCAACATAAAAAGTTGAAAGGTTTATTATAGTTTTGGAGGTTTTACTCTGTAACCAATTTGCTTTAGTTGCTTTGGGCCTGTGGCAGCACATCATGGGGGGCATGAAGGCAGAGGGGTTTCATTTACCTGATGGCTGCATGTAAAAGAGACAAAGAAGAAGGGGCTGGTTCCTATTATCCCCTTCAATGTCATGCCCACAGGGACCTAAGACCTCCTGCTAGACCACCTCCCACGAGCACCATGGGAGGAGGACAGAGCTTTAACACCTGAGTCTTTGGGGAGCATTTAGGATCCAAACTAGAGCATTGAGCTATAAGGAAGAGATCCAAGGTGTGAAAGAAAAGAGAGGTGTTTGTAGCTGTGATGGTTAATAGCTGGGCTCTGAAATCAATTTTGGTTTCTGCTTTTATTATATTGAGACAAAATTCACATAACATAAAATTAGCCATTTTGAAAGAGTGTAATTCAGTGCCATTTAGCACATTTACAAATTGCATGACCATTACATCTCTCAGTTCCAAACAGTTTCATCACTCCAAAAGAAAGCCTTGTACCCATTAAGCAGCTGCTCCCGATTTTCCCCTCCTCCTGTCAGCCACCAATCTGCTTTCTGTCTCTGTAGCTTTCCCTAGTCTAGACACGTCACATATAAATGGAATCATGCAATATGAGGTATATTATGTCTTGACATGTTTTTGAACTTCACGCTCATATCTAGTTTCCTTCCCTATATCAGTATTTTACTCCTTTTTATGGCCAAATAATATTGCTTTGTATGGATATACCATATTTTGTTTATATATATTCATCTCTTTTTTAAATATTATTTAGTTGTAGATGAACACAGTACCTTTACTTATTATTATTTGGTGCTGAAGATCGAACCTAGGGTCTCACACATGCTAGGCAAGTGCTCTTCCACTGAGCCACAACCTCAGCCCATATTCATCTCTTAATGAACACTTCCACCTTTGGGTGATTGTAGACAGAGCTGCTGTGAAGATTCTTCCACAAGTTTTTGTTTAAGACAACGGCTTTCAATTCTTTAGGGTATAATTACCTGGGTGTGACTGGGCCACATGATAATTCCACGTGATAATTCTTTTTGATGACCCACCAAACAGTTTCCCACAGCAGTTTGTGCTGTTTTACATGCCGCCCGATTGCCTGGCATTGCACCCAGCCCTGCCACTTACTAGCTGGACCAGTTACTTTCATCTCTGTGCCTCAGCTGTACCACAGAGAATAATGCTGTTTATCTGGAGGGTGGTGGTGTTTAACTGAAGGGTCAAGGGCGAAGGGCTTATGGTAGTGCCCGGTAAGTAAGCAGTTTTTTCTGCTGTGGTCACTGTTGTTGTGGGAGAGTAGGAGTCAGGGCAGGTGAAAGAGTGAGAAGCATTCAGGCTCAAAAATGCTGCCTTGTGGGTCTGGAAGAACCAAAAGATCCTGCTCAGGCACTGGAGGCTGGGCGCTGAGAGCACCCCTCCTTCTGCTTGCCTGAGCCGCCGGCACCATTGGCTCCTTGAGTCCGTGGTTTTCATGGTCCACCTGAGTCTCCTGCTCATGGCTGAGCTGTGCTGGAACAGAGAGGCAAGTGGGACGAGGTTCCTTTCTCCTTCCTGGGGAGCAGGCAGCTGAGCCGGCTGACGGTGGACTGTGCTCTCTGGCGCTCCCCCGCAGCTGGGTTCTGACAGCATCTCAGGTGACTTCTTCCTGCGGCTCCTTGCAAACAGGGGCTCTGTGTCTGGCTGAAATGCAGGGATCTCAGAAAGACCCGGCCCCTACATCTTGGGAGGTCATCCTTCCTGAAAGGGGCTGTATGTGGGAGGAAGAAAGAGCAAGATGACCAAGCCCAGGTAGGGGACAGAGGCAGGAGATGCTGCAAGAGGAGGGGAGGGGGAGGGGGAGAGATCAGGACCAAGGCAGCAGGAGTCTGGCGTTACAACAGGGAGGGATGTGAACGGGAGTGAGAACAGTCTGGAAGCGTCACGAGGCCCTCAGCGGCAAAGGCTCTGTGCTCAGGTGGCGAAGGTGGAGACTGCCGGGTCTTCCTGTGGGGTGAAGGGTGGCAGCCCACAGAAGCCTGCTGCTCAAGGCGCTGGCACAAGTGAAAGCCCACCCAGAGAACATGTGGCCCCTTCCTGGTCAGGCTCAGAACTGGACGGTGTCACCCCAGGGCATCTGCCTGGGGTCCACTTGGTTTACTTCAGTCTCATTCCCAGAGAGGCAGAAGGCCTGCAGTGGACCGTGCTACAGCAGGAACTAGGAAAGAGGAATTCCTGTGACTCTGAAGTCACAATGTACAGGAGAGAAATGTAGATGCCCAGAGAGGGAAGGTTGCAGACCGCTGGCCCACAGCCAGTGAGAGACAGCTGGAGGAGAAATCAGGCCAGCCAGCCTTGGCCTCATGGTCTTTCTGATGAGACGAACCATGGTGTGTCTCCACAACTGCAAAATAGCAGGCCCCACTGATGTGGCTTTCACGCATTCCAGAATCACCCAGTCGCCCACGAAGGTCAAGTCAGCTCACCATACTGAAGCAGGAGGCCAAGGTCATTGTCTACATGGCACAAAAGTGACATGCATGGTCTATCTAGAATGATCGTCTTTGGCCTAGGGAGGTGCTGAGACACCCCTCAGCCTATCTCTGGCCTCACCATTATTGCAGTGTGCCTTGAAAACATGGCTATCCCCTATGCTGTGGAAAAGGTGGGGGCATGCTGGCTCTGACTTCTAATCCTGGCTGCTTGTCAGAATTACCTGGGGAGCCTGGGAAAAGCCCAAAAACGCAGGTCCCCCCTCCTGGCTGCCGAATCAGACTCTCTAGGGCTTAGCTCGGGAAATCAAATCTGTCAAAAGCTTCCTTCCCAGGGGATTCTTATGCATCTGGTCCAACAGGAACCAGCAGTCTTGATTATTCTAGCTAATATCTCCCTAACCATCAGCCTCATCCCAAAGCATTTAAAAGATGCAGGTCATTAGTGAGAAGTGATATTTCCCTAATGAGATGTGGGTGGTACCTGGAGCCTGGGCTCAGGTCCCCACTGCAGTTGGGGAGGTCTGGTCCTAGCAGGCAACACAGCTCCTGCAGTCACAGACACGTGTTACTCACCCATCTGCATTCTCTTCCCTCTGTAGGACCAACAGGACCAGCCACTGTTACCGCATCACCTATCGCCACATGGAACGGACACTGTCCCAGAGAGAGGTCACACACGTCCATCAGGCTGTGCAGGAGGCCGCAGTGCAGCTTCTGGGCGTGGAGGGTCGGTTTTGATGTCACCTCCTCTCCCCGCCTGTGGCCCTCCCAGGGCTCCAGGATTTGCTGAAAGAGGAAAACCTATTGTTTGTGACCTGGAACGTCAGTCATCTGTTGGTAAATGGTCAGTTTGAGGACTTGAAATAAAGGATCGCTCTTGAAGGCGTTGGCATAGCATTTGTCTTTTATTTGGGGGGAAGGGGGAAACGGCAGCACTAAAAAGTTCCCTCCTGTTTCTTTGAGAAATGCTTAGCCCACTGGCTCTCCGTGTGGTTAATTGGTCCCTGGGTTCCATTAAGCACCAGGCATGATTTCTTTCCTGACAGGCTCTTCACCCACGTAATGAGTGAAGCCACGCAGCGGGACTTCAGAAGCTCTGGGCATAATACAGGCATACCTCGTTTTATTGTGCTTTGTTTTATTGAAACTTATAGTGCTGCGTTTTTACAAATTGAAGGTTGGTGACAACCCTGTGCTGAGCAAGTCTATCAGCGCCATTTTTCCAAGGGTTCAAATGATCATTAGTATTTTTTATCAATAAAGTATTTTTAATTAAGGCAGGTACATAGTTTTAAAACCTGATGCCTGGTAGACAATAAAATAATGTAAACATGAATTTTATATGCACTAGGAAACCCAAAAATCCATATAACTCAGGTGATGGCAGTATCCACTGTGCTACAGTGGCCTGGAACCAAACCCGGGGTATCTGCAAAGGATGTCTGCGCAGGAAGGCTTCTGAATCAACTTCCGTTCCTTCTTCCTTTCTTTCTGTTTTGCAAAGGTCAAGCTTCAAAGAGGGCACTGGTGAAATGCCAGGGCTGCCCTTCAAAGAGAAAGGAGTCGTCTCTGAGCTGGGCAAGGTACCATTTGCTTTTCATAAACCCAAGGCTTAGAGTCGGGCCCTTGGCCCTGGGGCTTGGGCCTAGCGACCTTCTGCCCCACCGGGAGAGGGGACAAGGAGAGAGAGCTGCTGGGGTCTGGGAGGCACACGCAGGCCAGCCCACCAGCTCCTTGCAGTTCTGTCCCCAGCAGGAGGCCTCAGCTTCTGGAAGGCGACCTTTAAGGAAGGATGTGGGACTTTGATGCGCCCCTCCGTTCCAGGCACTTTGTAGTCTGCCTGCTTCGCTCATGACCAGTTTAATAATCAGATTCTGTCCCTGGAAAGACGCTGGGGGCTGAGGAGACCATGAGTGCTGGGATAAATATTTGATGAGGGGTGGCCATTACTGGCGAGCACGTGGGGTGACAGCCGCTTTCCAAAGGGAAGGAGGGCCTCCGCTGGCGTCTTATTAACTCGGAGTTTGCCCTTGGGTTTTCAGGGCAGCTAGTTAGGGAAGCCAGACCCCAAATTTGGAACCAAAGCCTGCCCAGGATCCTGAGTCCCACTGGGTGAAATTCCTCCAGTGGGTGGATCTGCGTGGGAACACACAGGTGATCAGCCATTTCTCTTCTCGTTAGCATTACCAGCAGACCATTCTGACCCAGCCCTGGGCTGTACCTCCAGACCACCCCTTCCTCCTCAGGACCAGGTAGGCATTCATGAATAATCCCTAACAAAACAAACTAGGTGGGTACCAGGCAAAACAGCCTGGCCCATGGCCCGAGCAAATCTCTGTCAAATAGTACTCGTGCCAAGCCCTAAAGTGGGAACTGGAGTGGGGCTGACGTTCAAGAGGGCTCACAGGAGCGGTTCTTGAACATTCCCCACCACACTCCATGAGGTTTGTTCAGCCATTATGTAAATGTGCAGATAAGGAAACAGAGGTCTAAAGAAGTCGCAGGACTTGGCCAAGCACATAACCAGAAGGGGACCCAGAGGTGCTCCCTAGGCCTTTATTCTGTTTCTGTGAGGACTCCAGCCTCCAGGACTCATGAGGAACCCCCCTCAGGGTCCACTCATGCCAGAGTGGGCCTGCCCTACACCACGGAGCCTGGGGAACGTCCAGATCTTGACATTTCCATGTGTTTTGCACAGAAAAGGAATGAAACCCTGGGAGAAAGCTGAGTTAATTCATAAGACAAACAGTCTCATTGTAGTGGCACCCCCTTCTCCACAGAAAAGACTTAACTGGGCCTCTCCAGAAATCTTCACCCAGATTTTAGGACTGTCAGCAAAAGAGTCTCTGCAAAAGAGTCCACTATAGATAAACTTCCTATTTTCGTGTCGCCCTGTTTTACTTGGCCACTGGCCGAGAAGATACCAGCACTCCAGGTGCTGGATACCCCCTTACTAGTTTTTCACAAACGTATCGAGTACAGTAGTTTGTAGAAATGTGCAAACAAGGCCTTGGGCCTTGAGCTGGGGCTTCACAGAGATGTCTACATTTTTAAGAGAAGTTACCAACTGGACTCCATGGTAACAGCTGGCAGGGGGAGGAAAGAAAGGGGAGAAGAATCTCTCCCCTTCTCAGGTGTTGTCCTTAAAGGGTTAACTTGCCCAAAACTTAGTGAAAGAAAAAAATTGCTTTTATATGAACTTCTGCAGACCGTGAACTTCTGAGCCCCTCCCTTTACATGCTGGGTATAAAACTCTGAAACTACCTGAACTCAGGGTTCAGAGGATTAATTGATTTCAGCAAAAGCTGTGCCCTCTGAACCTGGCTACAGCCAAATAAAACTGTTTCCTGCTTTGGTGCCTTGCCTCGTTTGTCCCTACAACATTTTTGGCGACCCAGATGGGACCGAGGAGGTAAGGAAGGCTATTCTGCCTCTCTTGTCTCCAGGGACCAGCTTCCCTGGGGCGATGGGGGACAGTGGTCCCCTTGGTGCGCGCAGGCCACTCTTGGCCTGAAGGAGGATCCACTCACCCAGCGTCCTGGGGCTGCCACCCCGGAGCACCCACAGGCAACAGGAACCAGAATTAGGGTTTTGGAGCACCGCCCAGCTGAACAGGTAGGACCCGGGTCCATTTGGTTTTGTAGCCCACCTGACTTCCCCTTCGAGGCCTAAGCGGGTGGAGGAGAGGCTTGATCAACATCTGTTGGGTCCCAAGTACCCTCCAAAGTGGTTGGAGCTAAAACGGACCAGGGGAGTCACCCGAGTAGTCTCTGTTCGGGGTCAGCGAGCAGAGGGGAAACTGTGACTCCCTTTTCTGTTTGGTTTGGAATTGTTGGAATTTGGGCGGTATAGAAATTCTGTCCTGGCCATGTCTATGTGAAAGTGTGTGAATGAGATGGACAAAGGGAAGGGTTCCGACCCAACCGAGGGCTGAAGCGAGTGCAGAGTCCTGATCCGCGGTTCCGTGGCACCTCAGACAGTCTATGGCGGCATTTCACCAACCAACGTCTAGGTGAAAGCTCCAGATCGGGGGTTGATACTGACCCGCAAGGCTAAGAGGGCCCTAAGTCCCCGTGAGGGGAGTGGCCGGAGATGGACGAAGCGAGTCTTGTCCTAAGAGTGTTTTGTTCTCAGTGTGCGACACCGATGCAGGGTGGAACATGGGAGGCACACTAAGGAAACCGAGCCTTCTGAAATGTGTGTTAGAAACCTTTAGGAAGGTTTTCCTGCTAACTGTGGGTGAGACTCACTCCACAAAGGTTGCATACTCTGTGAATTAGAGTGGCCCACCCAAGATGTGGGCAGGCCACCAGAAGGATCGTTAGATGAGAGAGTCATTGCTGAGGTCCTTTTGATTGTTGTTGGAACCCCTGAACCAATTCTCTTACATTGATTGCTGTCAAGAGATAGTACAGAAACGGCCCCCTTGGTTGAGAGCCTGTCTAGATGGACAGTCCAAGCAGATATTAGCCAGGAGCACAGTGGTCTCTAAGACCCAGTGGAAAGTAGCTAAACAGAAAACCTGACTACGAAAGACAGGAAAGGGAACAGTTTTCCCTGTGAGCCAGAAGAGGACCCAGGACCTTATGTGCCACTCTACCCAACTTTGCCAAGACCACTGGGACAACAGACTGTCCCCTAGCCCCCTTGTCCTCAGAGGCAACAAATGATGGCCCCCAATACTGGCTACTCCTTCCTCTATGATGGCCTCAGAGCCAAAGGCTTCCTAGGACCAAAGATGCTTTCACCTCCAAAGATGAAGGTGGGAGATTTGTCCTAAGACCAGAGCCACAACTCAGATGAGAAATCTCCAGATGCCCCTGCAAGGGACTAAAGGACATACCCATGTTGACCTGAGGGAGACAAGGCAGTTTTGTGTGCCAGCCTTTCTCCACCATTGAGCTCATAAGCTGGAAAAATCATACTCCCTCCTACACGGAGAAACCCTGGGCCATGACTGATCTGATGCAGCCCATTATCCAGACTTAGGATGGGCCCCAACAAAGAAGAAGGTCTAAAGATAGAGAGATGTCAAGAGGCCCTCAGAGAAAGTCTAAAAGAAAAGAAAAAAAAAAGAGAGAATAAAACACACTGTCTGTGCTCAAGAGTTAGAAGGAATTGGAGGCAGCCTTGAGCCCTAGCCTAGGCGCATCTGCAGACAAACAGAGCTGAGATAAGCCTCCTGCTGCTCTGGCATCTCCCTCTCGCACCCTTGATAGCCCTGAACATTTCTCTGGGCTCCACATCTGCCTAAGGCCCCTCTGCCCTTTGAAACTGGCAGCAATGATCAAAAGAGATGTGCTAAACTGACTCAGAGCTGAGTGTCCAGGCCACCGCCACTGCCGCCCCTCTCCCTGCCCAGAGGTGCCCGGGGGAGGAGGGGCACCATACAAACATTGCAGCCGCAATGCAAGTTTGTCAGTGAAGAAATGCACAGGCACAAGCAACAGGTGATCAGTGCACCCTTTGTGGGACAGGCTCAGAGAGCCATTTGCCAAAAATCACAATCCTAGAGGGCTTTACTGAAAAGGGTGCCAGTGAGCTGATTAAGGTGGCCACCGCAGTTTTCATGGATCAAGACCCAGAGGCTCAAAGACAGGCAGACCAAAAGGATAAAGAGGAGGATGGATCTCCTTAGAGCTGTCCTCACCACAAACCCAGAGGTCACTCAAAGGGGGGTCTCACTAGAACTAAGCCAATGGTCCAAATATTCATAAGGAAAAAAAAAAGTGTGGCCAGACAAAAGGGGAAGCCTCCAGTGGCCCTGGCAGACAAGTACCTACTGCCATGCTCAAAAGCTAAGACTTGAACAGAGAAGGAGCAAGTGTTTTCCCCAGCCTTTGGCCCCAGCCCCTCCTTTCATTTTCTTCCCACTTGCTCAGAAGTT